ACCCCCGACATCCTCGATCCTCGCAAATCAGTAAGCACAACCAAGCACGCAGCCGATCCGGTCCCAAGTCCGGATTCTATCTCCTGCACTTCGTGATGTTAGGACATTTTAGTGAGATAGAAGGGGTGAGGGTTCCCCTTGTCACCGCACCAAGGGGGGCACCTGTTGGTGCATCCGCGCCGGCAGGGAAGCACAGCGGACAGGCGCGCATATGGACACCAACCGCCATCAGTATTAAAGGAGCAAAGCGTGCATTCAACCGTGCCAGGGCTCGTGCAGCCACGGCACCGGACGGAGGTACATGGTACAAAGGCCAGTGGCATACCTCGCAAACATTAGGGACCCTTCCCCTGCCCACTGCCCCTAAGTCCCGCAGGCAGCCGCAGCAAGAACGAGCGACCCGCAGGGACACAGATGCCAAGGCCAGGCAAATAGGGGTTTTGACGTGGAATTCCGGGGGACTCAGTTCGGGGTTATTTCAGGAGTTTTTGGCTTGGAGTGATCAACAAAGTAATCTTGACCTGCTGATAATACAAGAATCGCACTGGGGGCCCACAGGGGATTTCGTCACAGGCAAGTGGCTCGCGATGCATACGGCAGGCAGCCGCAGCCCGGAAGCCCACTCCCGATACAGTGGCATCCTTGTATTACTCAACAAATTTAAGTTTGCTAATCCAAGCATCCTGGAGATAATCCCCGGCCGACTGGTCCAAATCAGAGCTGTAATCCGAAGTACCAAGCTTCCCATAGCCATCTATGGAGTTTACCAACATGTCTGGAGAAGCCATCTCACGACTAATGTGAACAACTCCTTAAGACAAGCTACTTGGACTATGCTCGATGATTCGCTGACAAAGCTGCCACAGCGTAGCGAAGTGGTCATCTGCGGAGATTTTAATGCCAGTCTTGAACCACAACACCCTGCGATAGGCCCTGCCACCATGACCCACAGTAGTACCCATGACAATAGCCTACAGGAACTGATTATAAAACATGCCCTTGTGGTCTTGAACTCGTGGCACTGCGACAAGCCAGCCACATATCATGGGCCCACAGGGGAGTCACAAATCGATTTCCTGATGACCAGGCAGCGCATGTCTGGCCAGCGAGCCAAGCTGGCAAAGCCTATGCAGGCCTTCCCGGTGGGCTCCAACAGGCTTACTGGTCACTACCCGATTTATGCCACCTTGCACACTAGACCGTTCTTCAGCCAGGGTCAGCCCTCAGCTGCCCGCCCTCGCATAGATGGTGAGGCCTTACAAACAGCCACAAGGGAATGTAGTCCAGCTGCGCAGGTTTTGCAACGACGGGTTGCAGATAGACTGTCCGAAGTGTCGGTGCAATCACTGGCCAATGTGCAAAGACAGCTGAATGCCATCATGATGCAGGAAGCTGCCGTGGTCTTCCCAGCAGCCCCGCGCCCGGATCAGCGCCCCAGCGCTGACCCCAGATTTCGTGCATCTACCAGCGCTACCTGGAATCTTTACCGGTTGGCTAAGCGGCCGGCGGTATGTACTCTCCGCAACATCTGGGCTAAATGGCGCTTGTTTTCGCAGTTTGCCAAAGCTTCGGCGCAGCTCAGAGTGCAGAGCAAACGCCTCAAACAGGAATTCCTGCACGGTCTAATTGACACAGCTGAGCAAGCGGCCAGCAAGGGCGACCAACGCACACTGCACAACATTGTCCGTAGGCTGACTCCCCGAAACCATCATAAAGCCTCAAGATTGCAAAGCTCTTCGGGGCAGCTGCTCTCATCCGCAGAGCAACTTGAGGCCATCGTGGAATATGGCAACGCTACCTTTGCCGCGCAGCCTGACGAGGCCCCGCCACCAGCCCTATCCGCGGATTTGCATGTTCATGATTCGGTTGTGATACGAGAGCTGCTGAGCCTAGGGATAGGTAAAGCTGTTCCGAAACATGTTGCACCAGCTGCATGCTGGAAACTCTGTGCAGGGAGTGTAGGCACGGTTCTAGGGGAGGCCTTCCGATTGCATTTCAAACAGGGCAACAATGGAACCTTACAGGGGGATTGGAAGGACACCCATGTAGTCTGGCTTCCCAAGCCGTCCAAGCAACCCACTACGGTGAGCAATATGCGGCCCATTGGCCTGCAATGCCCTACCAGCAAAATTTTGGCTGGCGTCCTCAGAGAATCCTTGCTTGCTGCGCTGCAGCCTGTGCTGCGCTCACTGCCGCAATTTGCCTTTACCAAGTCCAGAGGCACAGCCGATGCGTTGGCCAGAGCCCATGGGCATTTTTACCAGGTTGCACAGCTCCTTAAACTCAGCACAGTGAACCGATTCCAGCAGCAAGCGGGGCTCACCCAACCCAAATGTCAGGGTGGAGTATGCCTCTCACTTGATTTATCAAAAGCTTTCGATTGTGTCCAGCGCGGACTGATTTATCAATCCTTGAGAAGACACGGAGTTAGCGAGGTTGTGATTCAGGTGATACAGCAACTTCACTTTAGGGCCAGGTATCACTTTGAAGTAAGCGAAATGTGCGGGCACACCTGCACCACAAATGGAATAAAACAGGGATGCAAAATCGCCCCTTATCTTTGGTCATACTTCACGGTGGCCTTCATGCTTCTCTTAAGGGATCAAAGGGATTTAACCTGGCTTCAAAGGGTAATGACCCTGTTTGCGGATGATTGTTGGGGAGCTTGGGTCATCAAGAGCCGACAAGACTTCAAACAAGCCAAGCTGGATCTTGAGCTCATTCTGGAGACACTTGAGACTCTCAAGATGACGGTCAATTACCAAAAGACAGCCATCCTCCTTCACTTAGTTGGCAAGGAAGCGGCGGGGATTCGGCGCCAGGCCACCTACCGCAAGGCGGGCACCTTGTACTTGAGAGTTACAGTGCATGGCAGAGATTGCGGTATCCCCATTAAGGAGGAACACGAGTACCTGGGATCCATAGTTTCCTATCACCGTCGGGTTGAAAAGAATGTAATGCATCGCCTCAAGGCCTGCCAAGCCCGATACCAGGGACTCCGCAAAACGCTGAATGGGGTACATCATCTGAGCCAGCAGCACAGAATTCGACTGTGGCAGGCGTGCGTTTGTACCAGTGCTATGTACTCACTGCCAGTGGTGGGCCTCTCCAAGGGGTCGTTAGGGCGATTGGTAACAGAGCTCACTCGCCACCTCCGAGCCATTACCCGACAGCCGGTGCATCTTACGCACATACCCACCATTGCCGTATGGACCAAAGCCAACTTGGCCATGCCAGGATGGACGCTGCAGTGCCTTCTGGACAAGTACCGACTTAGGCTCCGACACACAGCGGAGACATCGCCTGACGTCACTGTGTCAGCTGTGGCCATGCAACACTTGGAGGATGTCTCGACAACCCTGGAGGATATTCTCCGCCAGGAGGCCCAGCTTCTCCAGCACACACCCCCCGCAGTGCTCGAGGTTAGTTGTCCGCACTGCGAAGACATGTTCATGAGTGAAAACGCAATGCGCATACACTGCAAACTCACTCATAAAGTACTGCCCGAGCATGCAACTAGGACCCCGACCGTGTTTCAGCCGCACATCCACGCTTACGCAGGTATGCCACAATGCCGCTTGTGCAGCAGGCAATTCTATCGGTGGACGCACCTCCGTCTGCATATAGAAAGTGGTGCGTGCTCTAAGCTAGGGGGAGATAGCTTGATTCGAGCCCCGCTCGACGAGGCCCGACCTCCTGAGCCTATTGCAGTGCCGCCGGCAGCACACGACACAGCTTTTGAGGGCGAAAATGTGGAGCATCTCCCGCTCATCATGCGCTCAGCCTTCATCCGCCGTTTGTCTAACTGGGAATATTGGTTGTCGGTTCCGGCGCTCCTCAAGGAACTCAAGCACTACTGTTGTATCTGCCATCAATGGATTGCTGACTTTAGGCATGTTAAGCAACATTTCAGGCGGACTCACGGCAAAGAACTAGGCCACCTTCTCCCAGTAGCTGAGCAGCTTGCGAGTCCCTTTAAGACGCACCTCAAACGCAACCACAACTGCTTGTGGTGCTCCCACCGGGTAGGCGCTCCAGGCAGGCACGTTCTGCAGTGCACTCCTATGTCCCAGCTCTGCATCGCCGTAGCATACCATCAACAGCTGCAGGATGTACGAGGAGGAAATGGACCCGGAGATCGACGCCAGCATCTTCGCGCACTGCTACAACATCGGCCCGCCCCAGCAAGCGATGACCGCGATGACCAATCGGGCTCAGAAGAGGCAGAGGCCGGAGCATCAGCTTCGGCAGATGCCCATGGGCATGAGGATGCACCCGCAGCTTCCCCAGGCGGGCATGGGAATGGCAACCTACAGTCAGCAGCAGAACGGCGACCCCATGAGGCTGATGGGGCGCTTGCTCCTTCAGCAGGAGGAAACGATTGCGAGACTGCGCAAAGACAAGTGTTTCGTGCTCTTCCTCAAACACGAACAAGAGGGGGTGCTGCGTCCTCTCATGCAAGTCAGCAAAGAGTGGCATCTCAAACAAGCAGAAGCCACAACAGCGCCGGCAACCCCGCTACGAACGCTGTTGATGCAATCGATGTTGCAAGAACTCCAGAAAAGAATGCAAAAGGAGATGGCGACGGAG